CCCCGGGGAGCTCGGAGCAGCGTTTAGGAGCTCGTTTTGAACGGGTTAGGGGTGCCCTGAGCGGTGCGAGGCTGCTGCGAGGTGTCCGTTGGCCTTTGCAGGCCTGGTCCTCGCCGAGGCCGGGCCTTCAGGGCCTTCCCAGGAGCGCTGAGCAGCCCAGGGGTTTGGGAACAGAGACCTTTGCTTTTTGTGAGACAGTAGAGAAGTAAAAGGGTACAATGAAAGGCTTAGGCTCTCATTACTCTGAGTTTTAACCTTATTTTGCCCATAAGCTGGGGGTGCTTTTTAGCATTAGTTATCACTTTTGCTAACAGTGTAATGCCAAAGGCCAGGTGGGCCAGTGTCTTCTCCGGTCCAGTGATTTTACCAGCTGTGCTAGCTCTGGTGACTGCAGATGGTGAAGTGGGTAGGAAAACACCCTTCGAAAGAGGAAATGCTGTTGCTTTTTACATCAAGGTGGTCAAGGTTACCCTGCTTCCCTAGCACGCTGAACACATCTCATTGCCCAGAAGAGACAGCAATCTTCAACACATGCCAAATCTACTTGTATTTGAACAAAATCCTTGAACGGCCAAAATGCAGACTTATCTTCCTTCCTACAGCAACAGGTGCCGGTGAGGAAAAGCCATTTCTTTCCTTCTTCCTTCCCTTAGGTCTCATCTGCAGATTCTCAGCAAATTCTTATTCTCCTCATTCACCTCCCTAAAACAGGGCAAAGCATAAGATGTTCAGGCCTACAGTTAGTGGGCTCAGCTTTTCATAACACAAGAATCCTAGGCTTCATTACAATCAACTTTTGAAGACCACCATGGGTAATCCAAAGTGCAAGACAGCCTGCTGAAGGCCTGAAATAATTCTACTACAAGGCACAAGTTGGAGAACAACCGGTATCTTGTGTACATACAGATTTGATAAAAAGTTATTGATCATACGCAGAGTACTATTTCACATATTCTCTGCCTCTCAGCCCTCTGATGTCACCTCCCGCAGTGCCTGCTCTTTACTTCCCCTCTAGAAGGAACAGAAGCTGGAGAGTGAAAGGCACTGTTGACAACTCTGTCTGAGAATGGACTGAGGCTCGGTGCTACGTTATACTATGGCCTTTTAGGTTAATGGCCTTTTGGGGCGTCAATTTTGTTCTCCCCCAAGCTTCTGCTTGTGAGACCAATGCTTAGGTCTCGGCCTTAGGAAGTAGGTAAGTCAGTCTCAAGCTGGGAAGCCTGAAAATAAAGGTATCCCGATTCTGGAAGACTTGACTTCACATTCCTGCCTCCATTCTGTTCTGACTTGCGTGGAGTTGGTCATGCTTAGGTCAACATAGTCTCTCCTATCACCATTTTTCAGACAAAACCAAAAGCCACTCCTGGTTTACAAACTAGGCCTCATGCCTGGGGTAGCTCCAAAACCAAGCAAATGTTGAACAATTTTTAAAGTTGTTATACAGCAGCAGCATTTTATTCAAGTCATGTTTTGCAGACAGCTTGTGCAAAGAGAGGGTGTTTTGGCAACATTTCTGCTAGAATAGTCTCCCTGAAAAAAAGTGCTTTCAAAGAAATGGCAACTTAA